GAGATCTTTTATAGGTTAAAAACCTACTGTTGAGATTTCTTAGCTATATTTCCAGGATTTTAATTACTCTTTTTATGTCAAAATCTCTAAATATTGTTTTCAACTCACACTGTTCTCCACTAGTCCAGATATGTATATTCTACTTTTGTTTGAATATTATAAGACTAAATCTATCTTTTTCCTCCCCAGACCACTATCATCAACCAACAACTAGTCCATTATAAGTGTATTTGACTCCCCTGCGCCCCTCCCCCTTCATCCAATCCTGTTGATTCTGTCCTTTAGTTAGTATAGTCCCCTTGGTGGACTATTGAAACAGTCACACAAAGGGTCTTCAGCCATCACCTTGAACTCCCCCATACCGCCACTCACCCAAGGGGGGAAAATATATATATATATATATATATATTTGTAACAGCAGAGCTAATCATGTCATGTGTTTCACCAAACCTTTTCAAATTCATTTTGTGGCTCTCTGCTCACTGTACTGTAAAGTCCTTAAAATGGCTTACAAGGTTCCATTTGATCTGGCTTTGCTTGCCTCGGGTTTTACATCTCAGTTCTGGTGCTTAATACTTTGTCCTTATTAGATCTTCATTCTTCTGAAGTACTGAGTTTGATTGCTTTTGTATGTTCTGTTTGATCTCACTGTATGTTCTTTTCCCTTTTCACTTGTCTAGTTCCTTGTTATCTCTTCCTCAGAGAAGCTCTTGTTCCCAAACTGTATTAGGTCTCCTCTGCTCTACATTCCAAAGCACACTGTATTCTAGTTTTGTAATTCCCATTCATGAAATTATTGGTTTGATATCTTTGTACAGCTATTATGTAATCTGCAGTCAGATGAAGGGCACTGTTTGACATTTTTTCCAGCATTTAGCACTGATTACACCCAATCCCCATTCTGCTGCATAAGTTTCTGCAGGATTGTCAGATATCTGACAATTCTTTGTCCCCCTCCTATGAAAGAGAAAGAGGAAAACCCACACAGGATATTCTTACACTCTCTCAACCCAGACCTCAATAAGAAGCCCACAGGACTAACCTTATGTATTTCAGCAGGCTCATTCTGAACGTTAGTACTAATCTTCAGAGCTCTTGACTCTGGTAAGACCAACTCTCCGTTGCCCTTTTTCCTTGAAATAATGCTGTCAGTTATGCTTCTCGCTTAAGGGTTAATATGCTGTTTTGGATGAACGGTTTTGATTTCCACATTTTAAACAATAAGAGATAACAAAATTCTCTACTAATTTTGCAACCTTTTTGTAAGTCAAAACCTATTTTTCAACATTTTTCTTTTTTTTTAAACTGCAGACTGTGCTCTTACATTGAGCTATGCCTGAAGAAAAAACTGTCTGCTGTATAAAAGGTGCTTCTGTATAAGATGTGCTTCTCTGTACAATGTGCACCCACATTTTTGACCCAAACTTTCAGGAACATGCCCATTGAGAACGTGCCAGGCACTTGGCAGTTAAGAGACATATCTGGAGAAGGCTAACACTCCCCTGGTAAACTTGAAGATCACACCACCTTCCTGCACTGTGAAAGATGCCCTTTCTCTCTGTCCTGGGAACCCTTACATCCTGGCCATGTCAGGACTGTGGCTTAGATGGCCATGCATATGGCTGGTGGACCAGAGCTTCTGAGGCCATGAAACCCACGGGCAGCTAGGTGGGTCCCTTGGAACTGTGTGGGGCTCTGTGTACTCGCCAAGGCATAGCCTCAGCAGTTGCTACTTGTGGTCACAGCCCACCCCACCAGTGCTGCCTTCATGGCAGTAGAGGTTGCTCTGTCCACCCACTGGATCCCAGCTCCTCCCATATTGGAACCCTATGCACTGGGCAGGCCCAGAGGGGAGGGCATGGCAGCTCCAGAAGGCCCACTGAGGTCCCCAACTCCTGAGCCTTACTGCCCATGTATAATTTGAAGGGTAAATGAATGATATGACATGTAGAATGAAGGACAACCAGTATATCTCTAGTTTGTGTCAAGTAAAGAACATTTTTTAACTACTGTCAAGGCTCCTTGATATATGGTAGAAGTGGGGGAATTTATCTTAATACATTAACCTTGATATGAGGCCATTGTTCCCATGCAACTTTTTTTTTCTTGAGATAGGGTTTTACTCTCTCACTTAGGCCAGAGTGCAATGGCACCATCATGGCTCACTGTAGCTTCCAACTCCTAGGCTCAAGCAATCCTCCTGCCTCAGCCTCCCAAGTAGCTGGGACTATGGGTGTGTGCCACAATGCCCTGGCTAATTTTTTTTTTTGTAGCGATGAGGTCTTGCTATTGCCTATACTGGTCTCAAACTCTCAGAGGTCAGGCAACACTATGTTCTCCTGCCTCGGCCTCCCAAAGTGCTAGGAGTATACCTATAGGTGTGAGCTACTATACTCAGCCCCCTTCAACTTGTGATTATATTAATTGACTTTTTATGTAAATTGTTGTGGGATGGACAGAGTACTAACATGGATTTTCCTATTCATTTAATCTTTGGATCTTTGTTTTTAATGTTTTTAATCATTATAAGGCAATAAATAACATTTTGATTCATAGGTACTTGAAAGTTTAATAGTATGTCAGTCTGTCTCAGCTTGTTACTTGTTAGCTGACAAATAGCGTTTCTGAATCTGGAAGACTGCAGCCAATGCTGATATTTGCTGATGCAACCACATTGATATGCTGAAGAGGTATTGTATGAGTTATTAGATAGTGTCCCTGTTTGCTGGAACAGTGATATCCCTTCCCCCATCATTCTTTCCCTCTATAAGCAGGGTCTTGTTTTCCAAACCTGAAGTGTTTTTCATTCAAAGCAAAGAGAGATTCCTGGATGTTGAATATGCAAGGAGGTGAAGAGAGAGAGACTGGAAGAGAGACTTGTCCAGGTGAGTGAGCGAGGGACAACCAATGGGATAAATAGGAAGGTGTTTAAAATTTTAGAAAAGAAGCTAAATGAAGCTCAGGATATCAAATTACTGTCTCTTATAGAGATGCTGGGGAAAGGTGTGGGTGACTATCTCTGAGGCCTACTTATTCCCAGTATTTATTTTATCTTTCTCATTTCCAGTAGTTATCCTTTTCTATTCTCCCACTCTTCAATCTGAATATATATCATTCATTCATGTTTCCTGCCTTGCCTTAATTTTAACCTGTGTGTTTTTTGTTGTTTTTCCATTTACTTCCATTCTGTCATTTTCTCATGCCCTTAATGTCTATAGGTGCCCTTTTCTTGGAGGTTTCTCATTAATAGTGGTCAAATTGCTCTGGTGCATATCTCTTCTACCACTTGCAACTATGAATTGCTTGCCATGAGTGCTTTTATTGGCCCTTACCTATAGGCTGTAACTGAGTCTTGTTAATGTTAGGGTTCTACAACTTCAAGAACTTCACCTCTGTTGTACATAAGTGATATTCACTCTGCTGTTTTCTTTCAGAATGGACGAACAAGTCTGCTTTAGAACAGCATGTCTATGAAATTGATTCACCAGGAATAGTAGCAAAGAGATTCCAAGAGGGTGAATTCCAGGATTCTATTCTTGAAAAGAAATATGCATGTGAGGGCATGAAGGAAAACTCTTCTGGAGAAATTCCTGGGCCTTACATTTTCCAAGAAGGAGGTTTTGGGGAAGTAACTTTTATCCACAAAAAAGAACCCCCTGAAATGATTAGTCAAGAATTTAGTTTTGAGAAAAGCTTGCTTTTGACCTCAAATTTTGTTACACATCACAGAGTTTCTACAGAAGAGAGTCTGCATCAGTGGGAAATAAGTAACATACACACCAGTGAGATTTCAGGCCAAAGCAAATGCTCAACTCTCTCCACACAGAAAAAGTCTTGGAAATGTAATGAATGTGGAAAAATCTTCACTCAGAGCTCATCCTTTACCCAACATCAGAGAACTCACACTGGAGAGAGACCCTATGCATGTGAAGAATGTGGGAAAGCCTTTAGTCGAAGCTCATTCCTTGTTCAACATCAAAGAATTCATACTGGACTGAAACCATATGGATGTGAGCAGTGTGGGAAAACATTTAGATGTCGATCATTTCTTACTCGGCATCAGAGAATCCACACTGGAGAGAAACCTTACAGATGTAATGAATGTGGGAATTCCTTCCGTAATCACTCACATCTCACTGAACATCAGAGAATTCACACTGGAGAGAAACCTTATAAATGTAACAGATGTGAGAAGGCATTCAATCAGAACACACACCTTATTCATCACCAGAGAATTCACACTGGTGAGAAGCCTTATTTATGCAATGAATGTGGCACTTCTTTTCGCAAACACTCAAATCTTACAGAACATCAGAGAATTCACACTGGGGAAAAACCCCATAAATGTGATGAATGTGGGAAAACCTTCCGAACAAAGGCAAACCTTTCTCAGCATCAGAGAATTCATACTGGAGAGAAACCCTATAAATGTAAGGAATGTGGCAAAGCCTTTTGTCAGAGCCCATCTCTTATAAAACATCAGCGAATCCATACTGGAGAAAAACCCTATAAGTGTAAGGAGTGTGGCAAAGCTTTTACTCAAAGTGCTCCACTCACTAAGCACCAGAGAATCCATACAGGGGAGAGACCCTACAAATGCAGTGAATGTGGAAAATCCTTCATTCAGAGTATTTGCCTTATTCGGCATCAGAGAAGTCACACTGGAGAAAAACCCTATAAATGCAATCAATGTGGAAAGGGTTTTAATCAGAATGCCTTCCTCACTCAGCATATGAGAATTCATACTGGAGAGAAGCCTTATAAATGTAAAGAATGTGGGAAAGCCTTTGCTCATAGTTCATCTCTTACTGAACATCATGGAACTCACACTGGTGAGAAACTTTATAAATGTAGTGAATGTGAGAAAACCTTTCGGAAGTATGCCCACCTTAGTGAACATTACAGAATTCATACTG